GAAATAACTACTGACCTGATCAATCTCCGCTTGTTTTCCTCTTACCAGGTCTGAACATCTCAAAGGATATGGTAGGAGGAACAGTATCCCTGTGGAGTAGCGGTTCTCCTACTGAGTCATAAACTCTAAGAACCGATTCCTCGAAGAAGTGTTATCAGAGCCCTCAAGTGACTCGTCCAAGAAGGGTGTAGACGAGAATAGAAATTTATCAAAAAAGGATTAACATATGCTTCAAGTCTATTCTCAATCAGTAAATGTGAATCTAAAATATAGTGAGAATTAATCGATATATTCAGCAAAATCTTCACAGATATTATTCAGTAAATAGCTTGACAATGAAACAATAATTCATCAATAGAACACAGGAAAAGAGGTTACGTAACACTAAATAAGAAAGCAAGCCTTTTTAAGTGATCTGAAATCTGTTAAGTGAGTTGTGATCAGTAAGTCAGAAATTTAAAAAAAGAATGATAGAAAAACGGTGTATAGTGTTACGTAACAAGTGAAGGCGTAAAGACAGATTAGTCACGGCATAGACAAAGTGAAAACATACGTATTCGTAGGATGAAAATAGCTCATACTACTTAGAGCATAAAAATGAAATAAGTTGTTATAAATTCAAAATTACATAATAGACTTCAGATGCATTTCAACTCAGAGGGAGTAGTTGTGGAACAGGGGGTATGAATACAATATAGTTATTTGTAATCTAAGAGACGTAATAGGAATAGTGAACTCAGCTCAGTGAGTTGTACTCAGTTAAGTAAAATTATGACATATCTATAATAACTTATATTAGTTTTTTAGGTTGTGAGCAAAGGATGAAAAGCTTTGAAATAGGAAAAATATGAGCTCTTCTTATCCTGCAGACCTGTTTGTTCATGTTATGTTCAGAATTAAATCAATACAAATTAAGTATTTATAGTTAGTCTGATGCCCACTAGTAACTGGCTACCGGATGAGTTTTTCTGGAGTTGTGATGATGAGTCGTGACCAGTGGGGTCCACCAGTTCCGACGATAGAACAGATACTCGATGACTATATTGTTTACTTGCAGGAAATGAGGAAATGGACTCATTACATCGACAGACCACAGGTCACCTATCGCCATAACTGGAATCGACTGTAGTGGTGTTCGTATGCATCGATCGCCTTTCATTAGTTGGTTTTGTGGACATCCTAGTACATATCTTGTCACGTCTCCTGTCATACCTGGCTAGTATATATATTGTCTTAAGAGGTCGGTTGTTTTGGTCACCCATGTATGTCCTAGCTAGTGACATTCTTGTATTATCTTGTGGTGCGACGAATGAGGTAATATGGCCAGCCAGCTTCCATCGTTCTCTAGCCAAGTCCTGTAGGCGTTCACTCTTAGTCGCTCTCTCTGTCGGAAGAGTGTGGTTATCTCCTTGCTCGCTGTAGGTCGATCTACTTCTACACCGTTGGTGATCACCCGTTTTAAAGGTATTTAGAGTGCCGTCCAAATTGTCTGCGTGCAAGTCTTAGTGGGTATTGTACTACTGCATGCACTCCTTTAGGGACTTCGGGCAAATTAGCCTCGTCTTCTGGTCTCGACGGCCTATTGACGGTTCTCTAACTGACATCAATCCGTGATTGAACTTGGAATAAATCAAATCCAGGGAACTGTTTGTATGATAATAAGGGCTTAAGTCACTTGACTAGAGTAGAGCCATTTCATTGAAATAAAGTTGGAATCGTTTGCTTTTTGATAATGATAAAAGCGGTTAAACTCTTTACTTTATGTCCCACTTTAATCAAATGTCGACCAATGCTACTTGTAGGGGATTGGGGATCTTTGAATCTCAGGCTATTTTATGACTCTCAAACTATGACGGAACAGCCTTTAGGTGTGCACCGTAATTAACAATGGTTGTCCGCTACAAAATCAATCATCAGTCAAAACAAGTAGCAAAAACGTTTCGAATAACGTAACTTGTAAACAGTCGTATAGTGAAAAATTATGAAAATCAAACATTTCTGAAAAGTACTCATTGAGATATGTAGGAACAATGGAAAATCTAGGAATTCAGGGGAGAAACCTTTTCCACTGTCATGCCCTTTCGTTGGATTAGTCTATTTTATTGTGTTTCGTTTAAGCTTGAAGAAATTGTGAGGATTTTCGAGTTATTGTATTCTTTCCTATTTCTTTCTGCATAATTGTTAGGCGATAGGCTCCTGTTTGGTTCATTGCACTGCCAGAGTTCCTTGTCGCTAATTCTTTCCAACTGATTATCAGATCTTCAGGATGGAGTGAAGTGAACCAACCGAGAACGTATCGTCCAACAATTATGCACAACGAAAATATTAATTCAGACATCTATAAGACACAAAATGATTGAGCAAAGAATATATCCTTTTCGATAAATTCCTCTTCTGGCTCTACAATCACACATATATGTTTATATACATAGAATATTCTAGAATAGTAGTCAATAACAATATTAGTGTTTTTTTTAAATAATATCGATTCGTTAAGTAAGATCACAATGGAATGACACTTCATTAAAGATGCTTAAATTACAATAATAATAATAATATAATAGCAAATAGAATATCAAAGAACATTAGCAAAATTCCACAAAAATTCAGGATCATTAGAACCTTGATGGCCAGCGGGGTAAGGACAATGTCTGAACTAGCTTCTATTGGACACACAAATTAGGCTTTTTAATGTGAATCCCAACAGTCAGCCTCAGCAATATTTAGTAAACGAACTGTTAAGGTGAAGTTAAGATTAGTTCGTATGCTGCTGTAGATGACTTTGAAAGCCTCCCTGTTAACATCAATCTTGTGTTCTGTATCCATAAGATGAGATAGAATAGCGCTATGAATGGATTTTGTTCGTCCCTTACTTAACCAACCATGCAGGATGATGTTCGCAAATCTGACAAGAAACACGCCAAATTGTACGGCCTATGTAACTGGCTCACTCCAGGGGAGCACACAGAGGAGGCGAAATTAGACAGTTTATGTTTTACTCGTGAACGCGAAATAGGGTTGGTTTTGAAAACACCGCGTAATTCAGTAGCAGTGAATGCTCTTCTCACAGCATTTCTAAGGCGTTGTTTTAATATCCTCTTCTATAGATTCGGGTCTTTCGAGGAAGACACTACATGAGAATGGCTATCCATCACGCTTCATAGATAAACATATAAAGCTGAATATCAACAAAGAACAACCCATCTCTGTGCCGAAGAAGATGCTATACATGAATGTGGCGTTCAAAAGTGACTTTCTGGCCGACATCCTAAAGAGAAGAATATCTAACTCCTTGAAAAGAACATTCTCTGCGGATACATTGTTCCTCAACACCTCCAGAAAAAAACTATCGCATTTGACCACTTCTATGCGTATCTACCAATTCACTTGCTCGTGTGGAGTGGGATACTTAGGTAGTTCGATGCGTGTTTTATCCAAAAGAGTCGAAGAACATTACCACACTTGGCTACGTAAAGGTAACAGTGGATCAATAAGGAGTGCTACAAATGAAAATATGTCCAACTATGGTCACTCAGTATTCATTCAAAGTCACTTACAAAGTCAAAAGAAGCCTCCCGAAACCAGTAAGCTTCCCTGCACTGCCAATTCCTCAGTGATTTTGATAGAAAAACCTGATTTAAGCACACAGAAGAAACTTCTTCACCCCTTCCTTCTACCCTGGGTATAATCCCAAGTTCTACTACTTTGTTAATAATACTTTTCTTGAATTTTTTGAATGTTTTGTATGACATCTTAGTAACATCTTCTTCTTAACCAATCCTTTATTTACTCTTTCTACCTATTACATAATTTATTTTTGGACACGTGTCTCTATTATCATCCTTGTCAATACTTACCAATCTCCACCCTTCGGCTCAGTTACAATTTTTATTATTCATCATATTTTAGACATATTTTAACGACTTAAACAACAACCCTAACTAATTTTTATTTTATTTTTGTTTGACAATCCTAATGTACACACACACACAAAATAATATATAAATGCGATTGTATAGCTAAGCGAATGAATTCGCCACCGAAAAAGAGACTCTTCGTTGAACTTTATTGTTCTTAAAGATCATCAAATACCACGGAGCATTAGATATGAAGTGACAAAGTTAAAATTCGCGTGTCAGTGAATTCCAGTCGACGTGATTAAACGGTCAACGAGCTTTCTCTCATTATCTGAATATCCCATATTCGGTACCTGGTGGGGTTGTGGATGTATACTGCTGAAGAGCTCCAAAATAGGATGAAACAGGATGCTGTGGTTACAAGGCAAGCTTGTAGACCATTAAGCCAATGGGACCCATTAATGGCTACCCCATAAATTCTAACTTCTTCCAATTCGTGTTTTTTCGCACGACCACCAACCAGTAATATAAGTGAGTATATGTCTTCATTCCCCACTGCGTCGATCTCACTAGTCAACTTCATTCTGAAACCAGTCCCTAGCGAATATTGAACCCCAGTGGGTACGTACTGCCGAAGAGACCCAAACTACGAGGAAACATCTGTCCAGTACTCTGTGGTTTTCCATTTTTCTCTAGCTGACATAAACCCGTGGTTAAAATTGAAATAATAATAATAATAATGATAAATAGCAATAATAATAACAATAAAAATAAAATGCATTTTGCCTATTAACTTCAATTAATGAACTTTAATTTGATTGGTTAATTATCTTACAGCTGAATAGAATTTAATTGGTCAAAATTATAGACACACATACGAATACACATACACAGACATACGAACATACAAACACGAATCGAAATTCAGTAGTCTTAGTAAAATTCTCAACCTGGAAAAGCATTTATTTACCAAAAACAGATGTCAATGAAACTATGTGTGGTGTAATGTGTAAGAATAATAAATGAATGTATGAATGTCATAACGTCACATGAGCACGCTCCTCACTTGTGAATGAGGCCAATTAAGGGGTCACCAGTACACATTTTAGGTCAAAATTTATACTAGTCAATCCTTTCATTTCATTTCTCTATTACGTAATCAACGAGAACAGTTGACCAATCAGATTCGAGGAGAGGTATATTACCACCAATCACAATGTGGTGGACAATGAGTTATTCATTTTTTGTATGAATATTACAGTGCAAACAATTAAACATTGACATTTCATGCTACTATCTCACCAAGATAAACATGTTGATGCTTAATTTTCCCATGTATCGATGGAATAAATTGTGACGGTTTTAAACCTTCTTCTTTTCTTGTTGAACATTGAATTTTCAAAATAAAATCAGGGGAAAATTATCAATTTTATTAAACGGAACTGTTCAAAATACACACACACACACATTAATATGGAATTAAATCAATACTTTTGTGTGTATTAGAAGAGGAACATTTACCTAATACCTATCCTTGATATAAGGATTCTCATAAATAAATATTTTGGATGTAAATATATATACATATATGTATATTTCTGGATTAGGTGTACAGATTGATCCTGTAAACTGGTGAGTTTATTATTATTATTATTATTAGTTATAAATGCATTTAGGCTAGGTGTTCAAAGGATTTTTATTGTCGCTTAATGAATGCCTCTTGTTTTATAATTCATTAAATATTCTGTTTGTACTTAACCGCTTTTGATTGCATCATAAAGTTTAAAGTTCTAGGCTTTGAGGTCATGTCATCTTACAGGACACATGGTGCTTATGTCGAGCTATCACCTTTCCCCAAGGAGCAATATTACTCGATACAGAAATAGGTTGGAAAATAGTAAGGGGTAGTCAAAAAAGCTAGTATCACTGGGTGAAAACTTCGACTCTTTTATTAAGTGGGTTTGTAAGGGTTAGTTTTGTTATTACGAGTTGATCACGGATTGATATCAGTTAGAGAACCAGTGGAAACCAAGGAGTACTGCCATACACCTGTTTTATCCTGGTTTGGGAACCATCAGCGGTACGCACCCACTGGGGTTCGAACCCAAGACCTTTCGGTTGCAAGGCAAGCTCGTATACCATTCAGCTACTGGGACCCGACTCCTCAATGGCCAGCCCATGGATTCTAACTTCTACTAATTCATGATTTAGCGCAACCCCAACCATCCATCCTCACGCGTGACATCTGAATGGACTTCACTGGTCACAACTTCTCACTAGAAAGAACTCCAGGAAACTCCATCCTGTAGGTCCTGGGTTCAAACCCCAGTGGATGCATACTGCCGATGGTTCCCAAACTAGGATGAAACAGCTGTCTGGCAGTACTCCCTGGTTTCCAGTGGTTCTCTAACTGATATCAATCCGTGATCAACTCGTAAGAAGAAAACTTTTACATGTAGGGGGAAGTAGACTACAAGTCTGGTTGGGGTCCTCAGGATGGTAAGGACCAATGACTCGAGACTGTTGGTGATGCATTCACTCTGTAATTTCACAGATCTATTAAAATCTTATTTTGTTTCTTTGTCATTGATCTTTCCCTTATATATTTCTGCTCATTATGCGTCTTTTGACTTTCAAGTAGTGGTTTGTAGAGATCTGATTGATTGGTTGGAGGATTTCATCATCAGCTGACATCGGTTAGGGTACTGGACGGCTGTTTCGTCCTAGTTTGAGACTCTTCATCAGTACGCAACCACCACCAGGGTTCTTTTGACTTTCTTTTCTATACCTTTGTGTACTACTTGGAGTGTAGTAGCTTAAACTGGTTCACTTGTATCTAGCGTTCTACGCTGGAACTCACTCAATGAGTCAGAACAACTCAGGTAGACATGTTCCTATCTCATTGTAGATGTGTACCCGGGGAAGTGTAATTCAGTACGGATCATTCCAATACCATTACATTAGACATTTAATTTACAAGGGTAAAGTTGGGCGTTTTTTCAAACATAACATCCCACAGACTCTTTTCAAGTCAAATCACAAAATAAAATACTAGTTAGACGACCACTGAAAACCAGAGCGTACTAGACGGGGATCATCAGCAGTACACACCACCATAACTCCACTAGGAGTTGAAGAATCCAGGACTTTCATCTAGCCACAGGAACATAATTCAGTTTTGCCCACCCCTCTTAATTCTAAATTCTGTCAACTCATGGTAATACAACCCGTGTGGTGATAACTTTATCCTTGCTTTATCAAAACACTGTAGAATATCCACACTTCTAAACACATGATCATGGATAGATGTGAGTAGCTTCCAGTTTGTAGTCAGGCACACGTTAATCTATGCGAACTATAAAATTATATTATATTATTATTATTGTTCCCTTGAAGTCCTAGTGGAACATAGGGCTTCAACTGCACGTCTCCACTTGCTTCTCTCTTCTGCTGTACTTTTCACCCGCATCCATGTTAGTCCATACTGTTTCAACTCCTCTTCACACGATCTCCTCTATGTCACCCTTGCACTGACGTCCCACTCGTCGCTTCCCTTTCGGGTTCCACTCGAGCGTTGGCCTGACGCGCGATGTCACCCATTGGCCTCCTCTGTGAGTGTCCAATCCATGTCCACTTTCTACTGCATATTTGTTGGGCGATTGGTTCTTGTTTTGTTTGTTCCCATAGTTTCTTGTTGGTGATTCTTTGCAGCTATCTGATCTTCAGTATAGAGCGAAGACAGTTGTTGATAAAGGTCTGCAACAGGCTGTTGGAAATATTCTTTGTGACACACTGGCCAAGTTTCTGATCCATATAGAAGAACTGACTGACTTGACGTTTGTATTGAAAATCCAAATTTTGTTGTTGAGTGTTTCTGAGTGACGAAGATTTCCAGATTGGTTTCAGGTTGATGAATGTGTTTCTCGCCTTCCCGATTCTCGATTTGATATGCTCGTCCGTTCCTCCTGTAGTTGAGACAATGCTCCCTAGATAAGTGAAAGAAGTAACCTCTTTCAAATCACTCCCGTTGATGGTGATTGGCGCTGGATGTTGCTGCTGCTGTTGTTGTTGTTGGTTGGTTATTTCCATAACCTCCGTCTTGTTTATGCTGACCTGGAGTCCTGTCTTTGCTGCTTCTTCGACCAGTTTATCGGTTTTCGCTTGTAAGTCTTCGATTTTGTGTGACATCAAAGATAAATCATCAGAGAAATCGAGGTCTTCTATGTCATTCACGTCAGTCCAGGATATCCCTGTCTTGTCGTTTCCAACTCTCTGACGACGCATAATCCAGTCCATCACAATTAGGAATATCATTGGTGATAATAAGCACCCTTGTCTGACTCCTGTGTTTACTCCAAACGCCTTTAAACTATAAAATAAACACCATATAATGTATACATCTATATATATATATCATGAAAACATAAACAGACGTAGGCATAGACATGACCTGAAGCTATGCCATTTTTCGTGAATACTGTTCAAATCAAAGTTAATTTTTCGATTATTACTCTAAATAATATTAATAAAAATAGTTGAATAAACGTTAGTAATTCGTCCACCTAGCCATTCCATTCATCGAATTTGCCTTCCATTCCACTGTAACTTTTTTTAATGAAACTCAAATGTGTACAAGCCTAACAATAACACTGATGAGTTGGCGAAAACTTTGAAAGTTATTGATGATGATATTAGCCATCCAAACGTTTGGCTTATGTTTCCCTTTTTATTGTTGTTGTTATTAATGCTGTCAAGCACACGACACGTGCATTTATAGACGCTTCCTTTTATTGAAGCTAATTATATAAGCTATTGAATTTTTATTTCTCTGTAGTCATATTTATGACACGTGCTCGTTTTTATTGTCGATTTTATTGCCTCTTTATATTAAAGCAAGTTTTATAATGAATCACTATGAGTTGTATTGTAAGGATTGGATTTTTTTTAAAGTTAAACCATGGCCTGACATCAATTGGACAAGTATTAAAAACCGTCAAAGAGTAGTAAACAGCTGTTTCCTTCCAGTTTTGGACTCACTGATAGTGCACATTCACAGCCAGGGTGACGAATGAGATTTCCAACCGTATAATAAAGGCTAGGGTGGCATACATCGAATTGAGCCACCTCTGGCGCCGTCGCGACGTTAGCCTGCCCGTCAAAGGTCGGGTATACAATGCTTTGGAGCTGGTTGTCTTGCTCTGCGCCTGTGAAACCGAGCTGAGGATGTGCAGCAACTCTGTGTGTTTGATCATCGCTGTCTCCACAGGATTGCTTGCGTTCGATGGCATCATCGCGTGAGTAAATCTGAGGTTCGGTGGCGTGTGTTTGAACACAGTGGAGATCAACATTCATTGAGTGTCGTCATCTGGAAACACCAGCTCCGGTGGCTTGGACATGTGCTGCGAATGTCATCCCAGAGGCTTCCGTACAGGTCTCTGTTCGCTATCCAGCCCTGAGGCTGAGGTCCTCGAAATAGCTGGAATTGACGGCTCGAAACGTTATCGGATATGGCCAAGAATCTTAATCAATGGCTAACGTGCTGCAATTTCCTTCTTTCTTCACTTCCTTCCTGATGATAGTTAACGAACACTGTTTGAACTTGTTAAACATGACTGTTTTCCTTCCAGATGAAGTTCTTCATCCGTTTTCGACTTATATTTTCACTTTTAATCTGTGTTGTTTTATTATTATTGTGTGGCGCATCTTTCTTGGTACCATATTGTACCAAGTTTTTTTCTTATGCGTTTAAATAAAATAAAAACAGCCAGGGTTCGAATCAAGGGCTTTCTGGTTATAAGTCAAGCTTGTAGGCCATTCAACAACTGGGATCTGACTTCTTTTTGTGATTTCAGCGCAACCACCAGCCGACATCATTACCTAACTAACTCTTGAAGATTAATCTGTTACTCACTAGTGACTAGCTGCGCGACGCTGTTGCGGAGGATTCTAATGAGAAGTCTTGATCAGTGGGGGCCACCCTATCAGGAGTGAGGGCAAATACTTGCCAGGGATGAAAGTGGCTGGTGGTCAGGCTGAAATAACGAATTGATAGAAGTTATAATTCACTGGCCTATCATTGGATCGGATCCCGGCGACTGAATTGTCTGCGAGCTTGCAGTGAGCAGTGAGCAGGCGTACTGGTGAGGAGTCCTAAACTAGGACGAAATAACCGCCAAATTCTCCTTGTCTCTTTTCGATGATTCTCTAAGACATCTATAAAACACAAAATGATTGAGCAAAGAATATCCTTTTCGATAATTTCCTCTTCCGGCTCTACAATTATATATATATATATATGTTTATATACACAGAATATTCTAGATTAGTAGTCAATAACTATATTAGTGTTTTTTTAGATAATATCGATTTGTAAAGTATGATCACAATGGGATTACAGTTCATTAAAGATGCTTAAATTATAATAATAATAAAGATATAACAGCGAATAGAATATCAACTAAAATTAAGGAAATTTCACAAAAATTCAGGATTATTCAAACCTGGATGGCCAAGGTAATGATAATGACAGAACTAACCTCTTTTGGATGCATAAATTAGGCTTGTTAATATGGATCCCAACAGCCTCAGCAATATTTAGTAGTCGAACTCTTAAGGTGAAATTGAGATTTGTA